CCCCGCCGTCAGCTCCCCAGGCCGGGGCGACCTACGCGCTGTTTTTCATCTCCGCGATGGGAGCAAACAGGCAGTGGGAGAGCCCAGGGCAAGGCGCCCGAAAGAAGGCATTCCTGGCAGGGCGAGCCGGGTGGGTGTGGGACGTCCCGGGGGAGCGTGGAGGCACGAGGAGAATCTCATCCCACCCAGCGGCTCTTCCCCGGCCCGTGTGTGTCCGGAAGGGGGCTCCAGCGACCTCCAGGTAATTGCTGGAAGAGTAATTGGATGGCTCACCTCTAGGAAAGTAAGGCTGCATCTCAAGATCAGAAAAGCAGGGGGTGGGTTTACATGGAGATGCCAGACTTGACAAATGCTGCCATGGTCGGAGGGGCAGTGATGTGGGTCCTTCCCTGTCTCTGTTATGGGAAGGAAACTGTGGGAGTGGAATTTGGGGCTCACGGAGGAGGGGAAATCAACAGGAAGCCAGGGGTCTGACACGTAGGACTTGGCCCCTGTGGTCTAAGCCCTCGGTTTCCCCTCCTAGCAAACGGATACCTTCTGATAAGTGTGAAACCCCAAACCTTGTGCATCACCTTCTGCGTGGGGCTGCTCAGAATGCCCTGAAGGTTTTGGCCGTCAGCGAATGAATTGCTCTATGCAGCTGCTGGGACGTTTTGCAAAGCGTATTCAGAATAACAAGAATCGGAGCATGATTTCCTGCCTGAAGGCCGGGCAGCTGTCTAGTCAGATGGAGGAGAACAAGAAGCCAGGGGCTGCCTGGTTTGGGCAGCCCGACCTTGACTGTGGCCCATCAGGCTGCCCTTGTGGCTTGGAATGGCAGACCCTCCCCTGGGGAGGAAGTACCTGGACGAGGACATGCCCTCTCCTAGGCTTCGGGCAAAACAGAGATAAGGAGAGGAGGGTGCCCTTAGGAAGGGGGAGCTGGCTAAGAAGTTTGGCCACAGTATTAACAGTGGCAGGGCAGAAACATCATTGCTTTTGAGAAAGGAGACGTCCCACCCTCAGTTCACTGTTAGAGCATCTCTGCTTCTGGAAGCCCCCCAGCACGCTAAGAGTTGGGGTTCCAGTGTGAGGCATGGCTTTGAAACCAGGCCCTGCTACCTCCTAGCTGTGTGACCATGACCAAGTCACTAACATCCCCAAGCCTCAGCTTCCCCATCTGAAACACAGTAAAAATAGTGGCACCTGCAGGGCCACAAGGTCGCGAGGCTTGAATGATGGGGGCAGAGCATCAGGCATTGGTGCATATTAG